TCATACAGCTCCCATGTCTTCAGCTGTGCCCCCAGCTCAGACATGCTGTTTTTTTTTAACACCTTTATTGGAGTATAATTGCTTTACATTGTTGTGTTAGTTGCTGCTGTATAACAAAGTGAATCAGCTGTATGTATACATATATCCCCATATCCCCTCCCTCTTGTGTCTCCCTCTCACCTTCTCTATCCCACCCCTCTAGGTGGTCACAAAGCATGAGCTGATCTCCCTGTGCTATGTGGCTGCTTCCCACTAGCTATCTATTTTACATTTGGTAGTGTATATAAGACACCCTGTTTCTTATTACCAGAGAATAAAACCCAGACTTCTGTCTTTCCCAGCTGTTTTCTGCCCTTTCGCCTGCCACGTCCTCACATGAGCCTGACTGACGAGCAAAGGGTGGGAGCCCTGCAAGGGGGAGCCATCAGAGTCCTCCTATGGGGGTTTTCAAACGACTTGAGACAGAGGGTCACTCCCCATGGGTGGTGGAAGAGCAGAAGGTGACATGGAGAGAAGGAAGCTGACACAGAGGAATGGGATGGGTAGAGAGCTTGCCTCTGGCTTTCAAGGCCTCAGCCTGGCTCTCAAGCCTGCAGTACTGAAGCCAGCTCTACCCCTGCTCTCCCTCAGGTGCAACAATGCAGGAAACTCCCCCAAATTGTCCCCATTGGTTTAAGTGCAATGTGGCTTTCTATAACACACAACTAAAACAGTCCTAACTTGAATCCTTTGGCACATCTCTGGTCCTGGTAAGGGCTGGGAGAAGAGAGAGGAGGGGTTAACGGACTGTGGGGAGAGCAGGCAAAGTCGAGGGAGGGGGCCGAAAGCAGCCAGAATGAGAACACTCACATACCCCGTGTGTAAGGTCGGCACCCCGCGTTTGGTACTTTGCTCCTTGAGTCCTCGCAGCGCCCCCATCAGGTTGGGGTCACCACCGATGCCCATTCCCCATTGAACTGAGGCTCTCTAATCCCTTGCCCAGAGGAGCACAACTAAGTGGAGAGCCTGACTGGAACCCAGGTGAAGAGGCCCACATGGGATGGGGAGGTGGGCAGTGTCTGCCAGCAGCAGCATCAAGGGCAGGGAAGGGCAGCCAGAAACGCTCTAATGAGCCTTGGCAGAAGCATGAGCAGGCCAAGGGCAGAAGTCCCCAGCCAAGAACCAAGCCAGGTTTTTCTCTCTGACTACTCCTCCTCTCTCACCCCTACATCCTACCTGTAAGACCTGACAATTCCACCTCTTGAACAGTTTTTTTTTTTCCTTTACATCAAGTTTGTTTTGTATAATTTACACACATTAGAAGTCATCCTTTCTTAGGTGCACAATTCTGAGTTTTGACACATATATAGTCATATGAGGACCACCATAATTAAAATACAACAGAGTATGCCCATCATCCCAAAAAATTCACTCATGGCCCCTGGGAGTCATTCCCCTCCCCACACTTGACCTTTGGCAACCACTGATGTGACTCTGCTTTTTCCAGAAGGTCATATAAATGGAATCATGTATAGTTTTATGTTTGGCTTCTTTCACTTACCATGTTTTTAATACTTATCCATGCTGTGCTGTGCACTCGCCACCAGGCCAGTCCTTTCTGTGTCAGGTAATATCCTATTGCATGGATGTACCACAGTTTGTCTTTCCATTCACTGAATTATGGACACATGGGTTGTTTCTAGTTTTTAACTGTTTTGAGTAAGGCTGGTATGAACATTCACGTAAGCTCTTTGTGTGAACATGCTTTTATTTCTCTAGGGTATATATCGAGGAATGGGATTGCTGGGTGGTATGACAGCTATGTGTTTAATGTTATCTGAAACTATCAAACTATTTCCAAAGTGGATAAACCATTTTGCTTTTCCACCAGCAGTGTATGGGAGTTCCATTTGCTCCATGTCACCATCAACACTTGCTATTGTCTTTTTTCATACAGCCATCCTAGTGGGGTGTGTAGTGATAGTGGGTTGTAATTTAATTTGAATTTCCCTAAAGTCTTGAAACAGTTTTAAAATCAGATCCTTCCTTTTGACACCTGCTGCCTTGGCCCCAGACCAGACCTCATCTTCTCTTACAGGGACCTTTGCAATAGCTCCCTAATTGGTCTTGTGGTCTTAAGCCCCTCATCCCTGAAACTTCATGTGCCCTAGTGATCTTTCCAAAATAAACATCTAATCACTCTGCTCACTTCCTTTCTTAATACTCCACAACAGTTGCCCTTTACCTCCACAGCCAGGTCTCCACCCTGCGATGCCTCAAGGCCTATTAGGTAAGGGGTGAGTGAAGTTGCAGGCAGATGTGGATAATAGGGAGTTGTGGAGACTGTGGTGAACTAGGGGTCTCACCTAAAGGGGCAGCTGCCACTCAGTTCCAGCTGACTACTATGCGAATGTGGGCCCCATGTTGCCAGAGCTTTAACTATTCAAGAGAAACCAACAATTGAGTGTTTCCAAGGTGAAAGCTCCCAATTTTTAAATGTTGGCAACTAAAAAACTTAAAAAACAAAGAAACAAACAACTCTCAGGGTTAAACAAGGCATATCAGTGAGCTGAAGCCAGCCTATGGGCCTCCGGTCAGCTGTGCCAGTCCACGCACCTCAAAGCCCTCAAAACTCTCCAGTCCCCCTTCTCCATCTCCAGCAAGACTAGGTGATATGTGTTCCTGAATATAGCATGCATGTCCTCACTTCTGAACCTCTGGGTCTGAGTGCACTTTCTGCCTAAAGCACTGGCCCAGAACATTCCTGCTGGCTTTCCAGCCTCAGCTGGGGCTTCCTCCTGTCCAGGAGGCCTTCTTCAACTGCTCCTCTCCACCTGCCAGGCTAGATCAGCTGTCAGTGCTCATGTGTTCCCCCTTCCCCCACCCCTGCAGTTCTCACCACACTTGTGACAGGATCTTCTCTCTTGTTGGCCTCAACTGGAATCCTGTGCACTCTTCCAAGCACAGACCAGCTCCCTGGCCCCCACCCTGTAACCTCAGCTCTATGTCCATAAATGTTCCCTGTACTTCATAAGCCAGAAAAAGCAGAATCCTTTCAGAAAACTCAGCAGGAAATGCATATAGGTTTGTATGTGTGTACAATGATTTTTGGTACTCACTTTCCATGGGGTGAGTGCTGCAAAGTCGGGGCTGGATTGTGTGTGAGAATGGATGCTCCTTCCTAATCTGAGGAGAAGCACCCATGAGTGCTCCATCGTAAAACCACAGCTCCGACGGTCTCCCATAATCCTTGATGGTGGCAATTTTTGCTCCCTGTTTTCTGTTGTGCACCTGGGGCAGGTGGCAGTAAGGTTGAGTGTGGGCAGGAGCCTATCAGGTGGGCCCTCCTCAATCAGGCAACACTCAGGAGTTACAATTTCAAGCAGGGATGGGCCATACTCAGTTTTAGAAAACTTGTTCTGGTAGCCAAGGTAGGGGGTGGCCTAAGGGGGACACCGCACCTGGATCCCTTCCTCTACCCTACCTCTCTTCTGAGGTCCTGGTGCCCCCAGCCTGGCCATGGGTCACAGGCTTGCCAGCTTCCCCCAGTTCTGCCACCCTGCTCCATGCCCCTCAGCCCCTTAACCTCCCCCCTCTGCAGAGTCCTGCTCCTTCCCCCAAGTTTGGCCCCTGCCCTGGCCACCCTGTGGTCCTGGCCACCCTGTGAGGGCTGTTCCTCCTTCACAGTCCACCAGTCTCCCCATCTGCAAAGTCCAATTCCCCTCACCCCATCCACGGACCTCTGAGCTTTTCCCCACTGTGTCCAGCGTCCTTGCCTCACTTCCAGCCTTGCTCATCCAAACACAGATCCGACAACACCTCTCCCATCATTTCACATGACTCCAGACATGCTGGAACCAGATCCAGAGGCTAGAGGGCTGTGGGAGATGCCTCAAAAGAAGGTCAGTGTCTATATGTCAATGCTACTCTCTCTCTTCGTCCCAGCTTACCCTTCCTCTTCCCCGTGTCCTCAAGTCCATTCTCTACGTCTGCGTGTTTAATCCTGTCCTGCCCCTAGGTTCATCAGAACCATTTTTTTTAAAGATTCCATTCACTTTGTTATACAGCAGAAACTAACACAACATTGTAAAGCAATTATACTCCAATAAAGATGTTTAAAAAATAAATAAATGAAGTGATCAGGATAAGGGAAAAAAAAAAGGTCAGTGTCAACAAACCCCAGGTCCTAGGGTCCCTCAGCACTGCATTCCCTTCCCTCCATTTACGACTCTGCCATTCTCCTCTGAGACAGAAGCTTGAACTAGGCCCCAGGCGCACCAGCCTGTTCTCTCCTGCCCTGTCGCTGACCTGCCGAGGATACTTGTCTGCACATGGCCACCTCCTCGCATCTCCGTCCCCGACTTCTGGGAGCACCCCTACAAACTCGTTCACGGTGAGCAGAGGAATCCAAGGTCCTCTCCTCTCGTCCCCACTCCCTCGCCGCCTCCGCCTCCCGGTCCTGAACGCCAAGGCCCCAGCTTCCCCTCGCCCTGGCCCTCGCCCTCACCCTCACCCTCACCCCGGGTTTCCCCCAAATGGACCGGCTCCGTCTCCCTCCAGGCCGATTCGCCGCTGCCAGTCTGCACCTGCAGCCCTGTGGCCTGGCTTTCGGTCCCGCCAGCCCGCCCTCTCCGCCGTCTCCCGGCTCCGTGTTCGGCCGCCGCGCCGTGGGCCCCTGTGGGGGCAACGAGCTCAGCTAGCTCGCCCAACGGTGCCTGCGTCAATAAGGCGCGGATCCGATCTGCTGCGCTACCTTCGAGCGCCGCTCACCAGTCACTGAGGGCCCTGGCTCCGCCGGCCGCCCCGCCCGAGCCGCCCGGCAGTAGTTCGTCCCCACCACCCCGCGCGCGATTGGCTGCACCAGTCCGGATTACCGCGCGCCGATTGGTCGGCGCGCGGGTCGGTCAGGCCGAGCGCCGCTGCGGCGGCGGCGGCGGAGGAGAAGGGAGCCAGACCGGAAGGGATCTAAGCGCTCCGGCGCCCCTCACACCCACTGCGGCGGCGGCGGCGGCGGCGGCGGCGGCGACGGCGGCGGGGCGGAGCGGAGCAGAGCGGGGCGGGGCGACCGGCCGAGCCCCGGGCAGCGGAGCCGCGAGCCGCCAGCGCGCAGCGCCGCCAGTCCGCCCGCCTGCCCTCTCCTCTTGGCGCGGCGGCGGGGAGGCGAGGTGAGCCCGGCGGGCGGGTTAGGCCCAGCGGGGACTCTCGGGCCGAGCCTCGCTGGGGAGGGACGGCGGGAGGGCCGCGCGGCCGGGATCCGCGGGGAAGGGGGAGCGCGGGGCTGGAGGACCGGGTTCTGTGGGGCCGACCGGGGTCTGCGGGGTGCTGGTGACCCCGGCCGCAGCCCCTCGTCCCCCGGGCTGCCGCAGTCACCCCTCCCGCCCGGCTGTCAGCACCCCAAAGCTGAGGGCCCGCTCCCTAGTCTGGCCTTGGCAGACCTACCGTAGGGTCTGTGGGCGCCCCCCCCCCCCCGATTGTTTGGCACACAGCAGCACACCTGCTCCGGGATGCTCAGAAGCCTGGGATTTGGTTCCTGCGACCTTAGCAAAGGCACTGACACTTGATGTTTCTCGGTTTTCCCCTCAGCAAAGTGGGAGAAATGTCTGCCCTTTGGGACAGTGTTGTTGTCAGGCTATATGAATGTGTGTGAAAGCGCCTGGGCAGGAGCCCAGTGCACATTTGTGAAAAATTGGGCGGCATACTGCTCCTTGCTGGTTTGAGTGTGGCAGGAACCCCCTCCCCATTCGCCCATAGTCCCCCATACTAACGCGGCTCCAATGCCTTGTCATTGCACACTCGGTGCCCAGCAACGCCAGAGCGGGCCCTGCCCAACCCACCCCGCCAACCCCCCACCACTCCCCCAACCCAGAGCACTGTTCTCCTGTCCCACCCACCTTACTTGCCTTGAACGCTGTTTACCTCAGGACCTTTGCACTTGCTGTGTCCAGTGATTGGAGTTGTCTCCTGGATCTTTGCACAGCTGATTCCTTCTGGTTCTTCTTCTGGTCAGATGTCTCACTTTACACAATGCCTTCCTTGACCACCCTCTTTCTTCCCTTAGTAATTCTTTCTCATTATGTTGTTTAATTTTCTTCCTAGTATCTGGTTTGAAACTATTCTATTGATTTGCCTGTTTATTTTCTGTCTCTCCCACTAGGATGTAGCTTTATGAAAACAGGTAGTTGTCTGATTTGTCCACTGCTTTATCCCCAGTGCTTAGAAAGCACACAGTAAGTACTCAGTAATATCAGTCCAGTGAATGAATGAACGACCCTGCCCGCCTGTTGCTTTTCCTTTATGTTTGTTTAGTGACTTCTGACTAACTTGTGAAACTAGTATGCAGATGGAAACTTGCTTTCATTTTGTGAAACATTTTAATGTCCTTGACCCCTTTATTTGGTAACTGTCAGAACAAGCTGTGATATAAAATCTTACATTTTTGTAATGTTTTAGCTGTAACTTCCTTCCACACATTCAGGAGACATTTACTGAATTCTACATTATCTAGGTCAGGCTTTCTGCTCGGCCCTGGGGACACAAAGGCAATAGCAACAGGGTCCCTTCCTCCAGAGAGCCCAAGAGCCCAGTAGGGAAGGCAGACATGTAGAGAGTATTAGGACAGCTGGCTGTAGAGGGGGGGCTGTGCCTTGGAAACTTGGAGGAGGTGATGGCTGGTGCTGGAGTTGAGCCTTGAATGGTGATGAGAAACTTGTCAGGTGGGGGAGGCAAGAAGTGGGAAAGGGCAGGGTGAAGGAAGAACTTTAGATCAATGTGGGGTCAAAATCAGCCTGTTGGGCCAGGTGTAAGAGAGCTTGGAGTAGTGGGGACCCCGGAGAACCAGACCCAGCTCACCCAGCAATTTTTAGAAAGAAGTCAGGACTCGACATTTGTATCTACACTCTCTTGATTTTGAAATGTTGGCAGTAGCTAATTTTAAAATGTTTTAAATGCCGTGAAACAAGCAAAATACAGACCTCATTCAGCTTTGTTGCAGGATTGTCGACCTCCAGTGCAGGTTGTATAGGAGGGAAGAGTTGCAATGAGCTGGAAAGGTAGCCCAAGGCCAGAGGAGCTAGGCCCTATTTGTCCAGGTATTCTCATTTAATTGTCACTGGAGCTCTGTGATAGCAGCTATGAAGCCCATTTCTGCAGAGGAGGAAACAGAGGCTCCCGGAGTTTCAGCAGTCTTGTTTCATAGCAAGCAGCTGGAAAGTGAAATTTGAACCCAGGTATCCCCCAGATCAGCATTCTTTCCTGGGTCCCTCAGCTCTGAGTATTCTCTTTTGGCTCTTCATTTGTTCTGGAAGAACAACATCCAATTTAGATAATGTTTCCCTTCATTTAACCCTTTTTTTTCCCCTTCAAAAGGATTCTGCAGGGTTAAAAATAATACTATTTTGGCATAGTCTTCTCTGAAAAGTTTTGATTCTCCTGAGTCTCCTGAGGAGAATCCACTCCTGAGGATTTAATTTTTAGGATACCACTTTAAATAATTTGTTGACAGATTAAAATGTGTTTATTTGGCCTCCCTAAATAAATGTTAGAGGATATACCTCAATTTGTCTATTTAAAATCAAATTTCTTAATTTTCTGGATAGAGAAAAGTGCCAGATGAAGCAATTAACAGTGAGTAAACCAATTTATTTCATGATGCCTAAGGTAAAACAAAACCACATTTTTTTCTTAAGACTATTGATTTGGCAGTAGGGCAGCTATTTCCAATCTAAATATGTAGTTATACTTGGTTAAGAAGGTGACATTTTTACATAATTTTCCCTAAGAATTAAGGAAAATTAAATTTGTATTTGGCCTTCTGTGATTGTATGAACTAGTTTCAACATCAGTCTTTATTTTAACTGTTTATTATGAGGAATTTCAAACATATACGGAAGTAGACAGAGTAGTATCTGGCTTTAACAATTACCAACTCATGGCCAATCTTGTTTGTCCCTAATCCCATCCATACACCTCACCCCACCTATTATTTTCAAGCAAATCCTAACTATGATGTCATTTCATCCATGAATTTTTCAGTTTATGTTCTAAAAGACAAGGAGTCTTTTAAACTTTGAAAAGCAATAATTCCTTAATATCATCAAATAGCCAGTCAGCATTCAAATTTCTAGTTGTCTCATAAATTTTATAGTTTCTTTAATAGTTTCTTCATTGGAATCAGGATCCAGATAAGGTCCATACATTGTGATAAGTTCATATGTCTTTTAAATTTCTTTTAATCTGTAGATCCCCCTTTATTTCTTTTTTTCTTTTCCTTGTAGTTTATTTGTTGAAGCAATAGCTTTTCCATTATTGGGATTTTACTGATTGTACCTCTCCAATGTAATTTCTTGTTTCTCTGTATTTCTTGAAAAGTTGTAGTTGGATCTAGGTGAGGTTTGGTTGGATCCAGGGTGCCTTCCTAAGGGAGTGCACGCTTCCTCTAGAGGCAAGTAGTCCTGGTTGGCTCACACTATGATGTTAGCCGCTGTTGATGCTCAGTGCCTGGACCCATTGATTCATTAAGAGGGCATATTATTTCGGGGACAAGTTTGTATATCTTTTGCCCAGCAAGGACTGTGGATCTTTTCACATTTTTTATTGGCCTTTGGATTGCCAGTTAAAGTATTGTTAAAAGGTGCCTCAAATCCTCTTTGGAAAATGTTGGGGTGTAAATTAATAGATATAAAAATAATGAGCGGGGCTTCCCTGGTGGCGCAGTGGTTGAGAGTCCGCCTGCCGATGCAGGGGACATGGGTTCGTGCCCCGGTCCAGGAGGATCCCACATGCCGTGGAGTGGCTGGGCCCGTGAGCCATGGCCACTGAGCCTGTGTGTCTGGAAGCCTGTGCTCCGCAACGGGAGAGGCCACAGCAGTGAGAGGCCTGCGTACTGCAAAAAAAAAAAAAAAAAAAAGAGCAAGAATTGTCTCCATTTTAGCATAGGAATTCCTTACAGCTAAGGAAATTTACTAAACATTTGATGGTGAAATTCAACAGATTTGATTTTATTTAATGTCATTTGGTTTCTTGGTTCTTTTTTTGTTTTTGGATTCTATAAAGTATTCTACTCCTTTTTTCTCCCCAGCTAATTTTGCCTTAGACCCTTTCTTAAGCAAAGACTACATACACTGAAACATTTCAGGAATACTAAAAATAGATTCTAAGGATATATGGATTACAAATGAGGCAGTTTTTTTTCCCCCTTAAAAGAGAGGCATTGGGCTTCCCTGGTGGTGCAACAGTCATTGAGAGTCCGCCTGCCGATGCAGGGGACACGGGTTCATGCCCTGGTCTGGGAGGATCCCACATGCCGCAGAGCGGCTGGGCCCGTGAGCCGTGGCCGCTGAGCCTGCGCATCCGGAGCCTGTGCTCCGCAACGGGAGAGGCCACGGCAATGAGAGGACCGCGTACCGCAAAAAAAAAAAAAAAAAAAAGAGAGGCATTAATATTAACTCTCATTATGTTAAACGGGTTCTTGCCTGTTGTGAAGTTGTTATTTGAATATTTCTATAACTGAATTATTTGGCTATTAGGAGAATGAACAGTGTGAAAACCACCTGTTACTTTGTCTTTCCATAGGCCAGTGTAGGAAAAACTTGGGGATTCGTTTTAAAAACATATGGTTTTTTTAGAACAATTTGTTTAAAAAAACATATCTCCACTCCCCTACAATGATTTTAAGAGAAAGAATAATTGAGAATGATTGCTTTTAAAAAACTCCTTTTCCTTAAAAAAGAAAAAAATATATATATACACACACATAAACATACACACACATGTATTTCTACAGAACTGTAAATGATTTAATTTGTTTGACTATTTAAATATTGTATATCTAAACTGATGCTGCTACTAGTTTGATTTCAGCATATCTAAGCATGAGGGTGCAACCCAGGTAGTAGATCCTCCAGCTCTGATTCTAGAATCAAATCCATTTTTCCGGGCTTCCCTGGTGGCGCAGTGGTTGAGAGTCCGCCTGCTGATGCAGGGGACACGGGTTCGTGCCCCGGTCTGGGAAAATCCCACATGCCGCGGAGCGGCTGGGCCCGTGAGCCATGGCTGCTGAGCCTGCGCGTCCAGAACCTGTGCTCTGCAACAGGAGAGGCCACAACAGTGAGAGGCCCGCGTACCGAAAAAAAGAAAATCCATTTTTCCAATTCTTAACTCTCAGAAA